CCAATTAGTAAGCTAGAGTTTGCAAAACTACGAATTGAAAAAGGAAATGGTAACGTGATGAATATATTCCATGACGATGTATTTTTGCACACATTACACATCATCTCCAAAATATAAGAAATCGCAAAGCAAATCACAAAGCACTACAGTACTTGCCAGTGCGTACATACTTAGGCTTACACAGATATACCGAAATTAAATAGACCGTATATATTATCATCAACAAGATTAAATTTTCACCCAGCCCATTTTCTTCGCAAACGAGCCACGCCCAATGCAATCATAAGAGCTATCTTTTCAAAACAAATCTCCAAGAACTGAAAGTAGGCACGCCTCCATGACTTCTTTATCAACAAAGTACCGAAAACAACCCAAAATCCAACAATAAATCCAGGTCCCATGCTAATATAAAACCATGCCATGTCAAGATCATTTTTAGCATCGTTGTCATCCAAACCTTCTCCACTGGGGAGAGGCACATTGGATGTATCATCACCTCCGCACTTGGTTGGAAGAGGAAACCCGCACAGTAAAGGGTTACCTTCATAAATAGACGAATCATCGAGTGTCTGGAGTTGATTTCCAATTGGAATTTTTCCTACCAAGTTGGTTTGAGAAAAGTTCAAGTGAGACAAAAAGGTTAGTGAAGATAAACTTTGAGGAATTGGTCCCCAGAGATTGTTATTGGAGAAATCCAAAGTTTCCAAATACCGTAAATTTCCAATGTTCTCTGGTATGCGTCCAAACAAATGATTTATTGAAAAATTTAAAGTTCCAAGTGCAACTAGACTTGTTATCTCTTGAGGGATTTCACCAACTAAACTATTTGCTGATAGATCAATGTTCTTCACATATTTGATACCTCTACCATATTTGAGTTCTCTTCCTTTCGCCACCAAAGTAACTTGCTGATCCTCGTAAGCGAATGAAGTGCTATTACCATCTGCCATAGCAGATACATTCCCCAAACAATTGGGAATGATCCCAGAAATATTATTGTGGGAAAGATCCAGGATGTGAAGATCCTTAAGATTACACCATTGTCGAGGAATGTTTCCCCTAAACGAGTTAGATCTTAGGCCTAGTATTTGAAGAGATGTTGTATTTTGTCCAATCCACAATGGTAGTTCACCTGATAATTTGTTTTCCCCAAGGTCAATGCCCAATAGGCTAGAGCAGTTTTGCAAAGATCTAGGAATTTCCCCATCTAGATTATTGCTACTCAACAATAATGTGTCAAGAGAACTTAGGGAACCAACTGAGCTCGGAATATTACCTGGAAGACTATTGTTCGCAACATCCAAATACCGTAAATTTTGCAATTTGTTCCAACATTGAGGGAGTTTCCCAGATAATTGATTGCTTCTAAGGACAATTGAATTCAAACTCTCCATTGTACATATTGACGATGGAATTGTACCATTGAGACGGTTCTCAAACAAAAGCAACTCTATCAATTTTGGCATCAATTCACCAATATTTGATGGAATTGATCCCGAAAATGAGTTGTTGTGAAGACAAAGCGTTGATGCATTAGTGAACCATAATGGAAGGGAACCCTCAAAACAGTTATTACTCAAGTCGATAACATCTAGTTTTGGATATTCTAAATGGATGGGTAGCTTCCCTTTTATTTGGTTGCTAGACAGATCCAAATACACTCGAGAAGATAACTTGGAAAACCATTCCTCGGCTATGGTATCTACAATTCCAACATTTAGAAGTGACACAGAAGTGAGTTCATCTTGAACTTGAAGCCACACGGAAAATTGAGGCCCCACCAGACAGTTTTCCAGTCGAAGAAATTTGAGCTTGAATGGGGGTACCCATTTGTATGTCACGTTGAAAACGAAGGACATGACTTCATCTGTTGTTATTTTTAAAGATGCTAACCTCGTGAGATTCATCAACTGAACTTCTGTTACAACACCTTTCCATGAATTCTCTTCGAGATTTAGGCTTATGAGTTTTGAGAGCTGTCCAAAACTTTCAGGAACGGTTCCATTCATTTTATTGACAGAAAGGTCCAATTCTTGTAAGGATGACAAATTTCCAATCGATTTCGGAATTGAACCCCAAAAAGAGTTTTGAGAGAGGTACAAATGTTGAAGATTCTCAAGTATTCCTATTGAATCGGGCAATTCCCCTTCAAAAGAGTTAAATTCTAAATTCAGTGACACTAGGCTATTGGTTGGACAGCCTAAGAATCCACCAAAAAACTCAACCACCTCACTTTTGAATTCGTTTTGAGAAAGGTCTAAAACTTTAAACTTGCAAAGATTCCCCAAAAACATTGGTATCTGACCTTCAAAAACATTATTTGACAAATCAAGGGATTCCAAAGACTTCAAGTTTGCGAATTCACTCGGAATGGCTCCATGGAAGTAGTTGAGGCTGAGATCAAGTTCGGTGAGGCTTGTGAGATTGGACAACCATTTGGGTATCGAGGAATTAAACCCATTACCAGAGATATCAAGGACTGAAAGCGAAGTTAAGTTAACGAATGGGAGCGAAAGTGAAAGCGGGAGTGGAAAGCTCGGTACAGAAAACCCACGCAAGTGTAACTTGACGAGGTTAGGAAGCATGTTAATTGATTGCAGCCAATTAACGTCATTGACTTGCACATATCCCATGTCAAGGTCCTTCAAAGAAGAGAGACCTGACAGCCATTCCAAATTTGCAGTGGCTAGGTCAGTTTTGCCCACTAAGCCCAACAATATTACATCACTACCAAGATGAAGGTAATTCAAGCTAGATAGGTTCCCAAGATGAGGTGGAATCTCTCCAACAAACAATGAAGAAGAGAGATTGAGATATCTCAAGTTCTCAAACATACCCAAGAATTTAGGAATTTGAATTCCTTCGAATTGATTGAAACTAAGGTCCAAATAATTCAAATATTTCAAGTGAAGCAAAGAAGAACTTATGTTACCTCCCAAACACGAACTTCGGTACTGTAGTTCATAGGCACTCTGTTCATCGAGTTCCGTTAATGGAGCGAGAGCTTCACTGCTGTATGGAAATGGATTTCTGAGGTCGAGCTTGACGACATGTCCGGAGATGTTGTTGCACCGGACGCCACTCCATCGGCAGCAATCGTCGCCCTTCCAGGAAGAAAGTCTACCGGAAGGATCGTTGAGACCGTGTTTGAAGTTGAGAAGGGCTTTCCTCTCGCTGCCAATGCACTTGGCTTAAGTGAGTCTTATGATATTGATCTCGAAATATGATGATGGCCCAAACAACCACACCACAAGAAACAGACGAACAAGAAGACTAAGAAAAGTAGTGTTAGCCATGGTGTTCAGGAAGAGATGCAATGACTAAATACAGTCCTACATAGGACTTTTATAAGGCGCATGCATTAAGTCATTGCAGAGATTAATACAAGCGGAAAATCAAGGAAAGATGAAGGCCCATCAATAAGAGGGATGTATCTCACCATATCGTGTATGTTACGCCCACTACTATTCAGTGATCTTCAAGTCCTGCCATGATTGTCAGTTTGTCACAAAATAAATTCTCATTCTGGCCCCCACACTTGGTGTATGTGTTAACAGTGGGAAAGAGAAAAGTCTATATACTGACCCCAACAACTCAATTCCGAAAATTAAATGACCAGCGCCAAACTACTGATCTTCTTTTTACTGGGTAAAAATTTTCTCCGGCGCAACAATATATCTGTTTTAACGAGAATTTGAAATAAAAAATTGTTAGAATGTAATGCAATACCCACGTCCCAATATTTTCGTAACATGTACTCCGAACCATTCTCACCAATTGGGACAGATTTACTGTTGCACCAGAGAACGAGAATTTGAAATAGAAAAATGTTGGAATGTAATACAATGCCGACTTCCCAATAATTTCGTGACATGTACTCCGAACCATTCTCACCAATTGAGACAAATTTACTCTTGCACAAGAGAAGATTTTGATAATTTCTTTCTAGATTTCACGAGACAACATGTCCATGAATCAGACACTTACCAATTGAATACCGAGATATCAGGCAGCCTTACTTCTTCAAAGAGAGCCTATTTTCGATTTTGAACTTATAATCTCCAAATCACAATAGAGCAATCTTACCATTTCAAAATTTAGGAGAGGCGTATTCATCGAATGTGTTACGTTGTGGCTCATTCTCATCTTCCACATTCATCGTAACACACACGTTTGAGTGTCAATGCAGACGTGGCAGTGGGGAAGATCAAGTCCTGTGGCTCATTCTCATCTTCCACATTCATCTAACACACACGTTGAGAATCAATGCAGAAGTGACAGTGGGGAAGATAAAGTCCTCAACACTGACCCATCACAAAGTAGCAGGTTACATCAAGTTCAAATCAATACAAGCAACTTAAACGCGTATAAAATCATAATGTCCCCTAAACCACAAGAAAAGTCTATTTTTTTCATATCCTTTTATTCATGTAACCTTTAATATTATGAAGAATAATATCATCCTTCATTTAGGAAAAAAATATATATATTATGAAGACTAATATTTAGGAAAAATATATATATACTATGAAGAATAATATCATCAATATTATGATTTTATTCTTTATAGTTTTATACCGAGCTGCACGCATTGACAGCATCATTCGAGGGAGATTTTTACCTAAACGTATTAGCCAGAGAAATGAGGCTCGTGAATCTTCTGTTATGACTCATTACACGCATAATTAATTTTAAAAACAAATTGATATTTCAGCTTTAGTGACTGCCAAAACTCCATTTTCTTCCTCTCTAAAACATAAACAATAGACCTTCATAAAAATATAACAGCATACAATGACCAATTCACCCGGTCACTAGTGCTGAAACAAGAATGATTCAACCTAAATTATATTCTTTGATGAGCATTTCTATTTTCTTTTTCTTTTTGTTTCTAAGAAACTCGAATATTAAAATGGAATCAAATTGAAAATTAAATTATATCACAACCAGACACTTTTGGACACCCGCACGCAAAAAAATAAAAAATAAAAAATAAAAAATAAAAAATAAAAACATTTATCTACTCTAGCTAGTCCCATTAATACATGATACAGAACCAAAGTAGTGAAATTACCTTACTACAAGAAATGCAATAAGCATGACAATAATATAACTTACAAGAAAATCAGTTTGCCAATTATTTTGGCTGGATAACTGCCAAAGGTCCAAAATTTTGTTCTATTCTTCAGGATTTGACCAATTCTCTAATATTTTCTTAGCTTTATAATTTTGGACTTCTATTAATTAATTATGTGCAGTTGTACCAATGGTGGATCTTCAATTAAAGTGTTGCTCAAAATCAGCAGAATAAAACATCGAGAAAAAGTACCAGTCATCAAAAATATTACATGGCAACCCTTTCAACCCCAAGATTTGAAGAATATAAGAAATACCCCAAGACACGTGGCATTTCCAGTGATTCAAGATTAATCTGCAATAAGACATGCAACACCAAATTTCAACAAACTATAAATTTTAAAATAACAATAATAAAACAGTGAATATAAAAGTATTAATAATTTTCAGGGATGTCGCAATTATATTTGTATAGGTAGTTTTTAAATTTGAACCTCATCAAAGGGAAGGGAGGGGGAAAAAAAAAAAAAAGGGGGAATATCAACTCACCACTTTGGCTCCTTATGTAATGGAATGGCTAGGGTTGTCAATTTGCTTTTTGCATTAAATGAAGGTAGTAGATTCTGATCTAATATTTGTCATGCTAGAGTTGCCCTTTTGCCTTTCACGTCTCTGGACTGTAAGCAAGTTAGTTGTTAGTTAAAAGCCAAAATCTGAAGAAATATACATACATATATATAAGTGAAATGTGTCCGTGTCAGCCACAACCATGAGAGAGAGAGAGACCTGTGCAGCAACTGTTCTCTTTGAATCCAATAACTGGCTGTAAATGCCATATAACCGCTGCTTCTCGGCTTCTGAAACTGATGGTCTTGCCCTAGAAGCAACAGACTTCAGAAGAAGATTGGTGATGACCGGCTTTTTCCCAGTCTTCTCGCTATCTGCACTGTCCAGAAGGTCGTGAACTGCAGCAAGCTGTGCGTCTGAGAGCAGAGCTTGGAGGTCAGCTCCACTAAATCCTTCAGTCATATGCGCTATGACATCTAAATCAACGTCACTGGCCAGCGGTAACTGCAAGAACTCCGACAAGTAAACCATCATATATGATTGACATTATAAATAAAGTTAAACAAGCAACCCATAAAGAACACAACTTTAACCATGATGCAACAATAGAAGAACTAAATCCAAGAATCTATTAGCTTTTAAATTCTAATGCACTCTAACCAGATCCTCCCCACCCATTTTGGAACATGTGAAGTGAGAATCATATTCCTAGCAATGATACATTGCCAAGGATAAAATCTGCAGTTGCACCAAGGTCAAATGGTACCTACCACCCGACCTTGGCGTAATCCCTATCAATAAACCATTGCCAAGGATAAAATCTGCAGTTGCACCAAGGTCAAACGAGTACCTACCACCCGACCTTGGCATAATCCCCAGATTGCTGTATACCCCAGTATCGTAATTCATAGCGATTTTCATGGTAGTGTGGTCCTCTTGTTTGATGTAGCAAACCCCAGAGCCCTGACCATGGCATATGTGCAGTTTGGAATAAGAAAATAAAGGAAGTAGGGGAGTTGACAGAGGAACAGGAACGCAACCATTTTATTAAAGGGTAGCTTAACCAACTTGACCTGGTGTTTAGCTTATATGGTGTTTGAACAACATCATAACTGTGTCAATAACGCTTTTGACCACAGGAGTCGCAACTTGATCCCCAATGAGAAATTGAATTTGTGAAGACATAGAGGCTCAGACTGGGGGCCAATTGAGCTGACAAAAGTGAATTCTTCTGTGGTTTCTGTGGGATGTGAAATATAATTATTTATGAAAACTGAAAGGTGGTGGTTTCTGTGGGATGTGAAATGTAATTATTTATGAAAGCTGAAAGGTTATTTATCTTGTTTAAAGGTGTAAATCTGGGTTTTTCTTCTTTGTTGCTGATGAGAAGTGATTCATGATTTTTGGGAGAAAAATTGTGATGATGATTGGAGAAGATGGGGCTGAATGAATAGAGAGAATAGAGGCAGCAGAACTGTTACGCACTCTGTCATTCCTCTGATTGGCATGTCCTTCTATAATTTTACACATGCCAACGTATAGAGTACCTGTTAGACACAAAGACCGGGGTGTGCATGACCACTCTAGGGGGACGCAACACTTGATTTTTATGTTCTTAAATTTAAAGTTACAGACCATTATCTAACTCTGAAGCCTTCTTTTGTATGTTGAAATGGAACAATGATGGGGTGATAAGCTTGTCATGGAAAATTTGGTGACACCCTAATCAAACAGAGCAATTTAAGATTTTTATAGTTCTGAATTTTTATATGTTAAACTGTTATCTCAAGGTACGGGTGTACCTCGGGGGAGTGTAGGAGTCAACTCAGGTTCAGCCCGAAATATAGAATCCATAACCGAAGCCCAAACCCCACAATCTTCAACACAAGGAACTAACCCTAGCCCTCAACCTCTAGGGTCGTGATAGGGGTTCTTAGGGTTGTTAAGGTTCCATAATTAAATAAAATTAGAGGAGAAAATATCATTCATCAATTCATAATTAGAATTAGATGAAAACCAGATCAACAAAATTCTCTCTACAAAATAAAATAAAATAAAATATGTCAAAATTATTGGTTTGCCTGCACAAGGACATATGCAAAATTTATTTGTAATCGAGTTTCAAAACTTTATTACTCCCTCTGCTCCATAATTAAATAAAATTAGAGGAGAAAATATCATTCATCAAATTCATAATGAGAATTAGATGAAACCAGATCAACAAAATTCTCTCTACAAAATAAAATAAAATAAAATATGTCAAAATTATTGGTTTGTCTGAACAAGGACATATGCAAATTTTATTTCTAATCGAGTTGAAAAACATTTTTTTTATTGTATAGGTAGTGAATGAATTACCAAATTTACCCGTAGTGGGTCCACAATGATGTGATAGTTTACTTTTCATAAATTCAATGCAAGAAGGTTAAATTAGTAATGTTACAAAAAATAGTACATTGACTTTTAAATTGGGACAATATATTTTGGAACAGCTTAAAATAGAAAGGTGGACACTTTTTGTGGGACGGAGCGGAGTATATCACAACAAGAGAATAGAGAAAAGAACAAACTAGAAGCTAATATCCACAGAAAGGTAACACATCTCTGGTTATCTCGTCATACATGGCTCAATGAATCATAAATCCTCCAGATCCATGGATGGAAGAACCATCAACATAGCAATGGTGCAATGACTGATGAAGCTCGATTCAACAAGGCAGGAATATTTCGACAAAATAAGATATAGATTAGATGGATCGAACAAGAGATTGCAGCAAACAAGAGAAGATCAACTTGATAAGTAACATATTCAACAAGATGTTTCAATTGTGGCTTGGTGCAGCGGGTAGTGGCAGCCTATGTTACCCGGACTCGGACATGGATGCGTGTCTAGAGGTCGGATCCATCTATCCATCAAATTATTGGACACGGGAACACGAATTAAAAGTGTCCAAAAATAGGACAAGGGTACTTGGACACGGCAAAGTTTTAATCTATATTTGTAAGTAACAGCTGTTACAGCTGTAAAAAGTCAAAAGTTGCACAGAATTGCGGGTTTGGTCAGCTGATATAAACGTGTTTGGTGAGAAAAAAACATATACGTATACATATATCATGCGGTGAACAGCACGCGCTGCAAGTAAAGAAAGATAAGTATGCTTATCAAGATATTCATCTTCTTCAACCTCTCAAACCCCTATTTTCGAACCAGAGAACTTCCAAATAACATGAATGGCAGCTGATCAGCCATGTCCGGTATGAAAGAGAAGTATCCGACACATATCCCGTGTCCATGTCATGTCGTGTCGACACGAACACCCCCGCCTGAACCTATGAGTCTAGGTAACACAGGTGGCAGCAAAGTGGTGCTGAGAGCAGCGAGGTTGTATGACAATTCGTGATGGCGGTTAGGGCTAAGTCTCATATGAGAACGTAACACATCTTTATACTTTCCTTATTTTAAGCCATTAAACAAGATCAAGCGGCTTTTAATAATAGTAAATTAAAAATTATTATATAATATATTAGAGGGTAAAAAAAAAAAAACCCTGAACTATTGGGGTTTTGCAAGAAATCTCCCTGAACTATGGATTTGTTACAATTTACCCATCAGGTCACCAGAAAAGGAAAAAGACAATTTTGCCCTTATTATAAAACTACACAGCTTCAAATATTGTCGAATTAAGTAGCTGAAGTGGCAAAGAAAATCTCACGTTTATTTTTTGGGAATTTTCTTTTTAAAAAACAACGTAGTTTTGAGGGGGAATCAGTCTACATCTTCTTCATTCATGTGTGACTGACACAGACCAAACCACCGGCGGTCAATCGCCACCATTTCCACCACAAGCACCAACACCGCCCCTCATGTTGAATCAATGACTCTTGGAAACTCAAATTATTCATGCCGAATCAAACCACACAAACCGTCAAACCCAATCAAAACCACAAATCACTGCCACCACCCCACTTCCGCCACCACGCCACCTCCATATATCACCAAACATAAAACCACACATATTCACTACCACCACTCCCAAACCCACTGCCATAACCACACCCAAAGCAATAAAAACTCAAACAATTGATGCTAAACTCACCTGTTTCTAACTCTTCAAATGTTCCAGCGGCGATTCCAAAGTCACCATGGATGGTGGCGGTTGTCCTGTAAACCTTAGCTTCTCGCTATACCGTTCGAAACACTAATGTAAAGAGGCTTAATGATCTTCAAGTACCTCTGCTTCACATTTTCCGAGAATTTCTTCTCATCAGACGTTGATTCGTCGCCGGACACTTCAATTTTTAAATTAATGGTAACGAACTTGCTTTGTGAATCTTGATTTTGTACTTCTTATCGTTGTTGCTGTTTCGGAGTCGCCAGAGCAAAGACATTGGACTTCAACTTCTTGAATTCAACATCATGACAAACTAAGAACAGGGGGTGTTTGGGTGTTTAAGAGGTTTTTATATCAGAAAGCCCTGCGGGTTGTGAAGAAAACGATGAACAGTGTCTGTAAGGGTGTGTTTGGGTTGACGATGAACAGTGTCCATAAGGGTGTGTTTGGGTGATAATGGTCACATGAGGGACATTAGTATCTTTTCATGCTTATAAGAGCATCATGGTCATTAAAAAAATAGTCTGTCACTTGACTATCACGTGGTCACTTTAACGGTAAAATTCGACCGGAGGCTTACTGGATGGGTAAATTGCAACAAAAATGCATAGTTCAGGGGGCTAATCGCAATTTTAGTAGTTTAGGGGGTAAGCTGTTGATTCCCCAATAGTTCAAGGTGGTTTTTTGCATTTTATCCTATATTAGATATCAGTTTCGAATTGTACAACCATCTACCCAAGCCCAACCCAAATTGAGGTCATGTTATACAATTTGAGCCCATGCACAACTGAAAAAGCTTTTTAACCAAAGCCTAATAATATGTCAGGTTGGGTCAAGTTCGACCCAACCAACTTGTTGCCCAAGAAGCATGGACATGGAGCAAGGACACAATACGGATATGTTGACATGTCAAATTCTTAAAAAGTAGGACACACACACGACGTGAACACAGCTAATATAAAATACATATTTTCATTTATACATAAGACAATTATAAAATTTTAATTAATTTAGAATTTCTATACTAAAGTTTCATAAGTTGGAAGATTAAGCTATTCGAATATCAAAAAGAACTAATTAAATTATATATGATATTACTCTCTTATCTTGCATAGCTATGTTTTTGTTCATTTTATACTGTGACATGCGTTTAACGTTAATTTCTTTTTATTTATAAAAATAAAAAAAATAATAAAAAAAGGGAAGGTTGGACGCTTTTATATATGTTCATAATGTTGTTTCCAAGATTGGTGTGAAGATCGCTCACACTTTTATATATGTTCATAATGTTGTTTCTTTGGGTGGACTTCCGTCTCGGGCAAGGTTGTTAAAATCAGGATTTTACGTAGAATCGTTTTGGACTCCATAGAATCGGATTGTAAATCGTAAGAT